ATAGACCGCGGGCAATCATGTTTTAACAAGTTTTATTTTTGCACTCCTGTATCAATTGGCTTGTTCATAGAATACTTGTCCTTACTTGTTGAGTACGATTGAGTATCGAATGAGATAAAACGAGATGCATGGTTATCTCATTCCTGTCGGTGCGTGCTGCTTATGCAATCCTATATAAACAACGTCATATTTTATTTTATTTTCAATTGCGGTTTCGCGCGTAATAGATAAGCAGTACTTAAGTTCAACACTTACTTACGTATTTCACAAAACAAAACAATGCCGGAAGTAAAAAAGAAGAGACGGTAATACTGTGCGTAATATAATTAATTCGGGTTCATTGAAAATCCCATAAATAAATCGTCGCCTTTGTGCCTTCTATGACTAAAACCATTTTCGAATGAAGCAATGAAGCCTTTAAGACTGCTTAATCATTTGAATAAAATGCATCCAGATAAGAAAGACAAGAAGATAGCATATTTTTAAGACCTAGAAAAGAAGCATAATACTCAGCCAAGTGTAACAAAACTATTTTCGACGGCTGCTAAGCAAGATGACGACAGACTTCGAGCTTCGGACATTATCTCTTTGTTCATTGCTCCAAAAGGCAAACCACACAACATCGGAGAAGAGTTAATTTTGCCAGCAATGAAGGAAGTAATAACTACTGTGCTTCATAAACCGGCCGCAGATATTATCCGAAAAAATCCTTTAAGTAATAATTCTGTGCAAAGACGAATTGATGAAATGGCTGAAAACATTGAAGGATCATTGTGCAATCATCTGAAGACTAGTCAATTCTTAATTCAGCTCGATGAGTCCACTTTACCAACTAATGAAGCATTGTTGCTATCTTACGTGAGGTTTATTAAAGATAATAAAATATGCAAAGAACTATTGTTTGATAGAAATTTAGAAACCGATACAAAAGGCGAAACCATATTCAATACATTGGAAACGTTTTGTGATGAGAAAGAGATTATCTTGAAAAATATTATATCAGATGAAATAAAATAAGATAAAATTCCAGATATCCTTACTGTATATTGCGTTATTCATAGACAACATTTGGTTGCTAGACACTTAAGTGAACGATTATTTCAGTCATCAAAGCAGTCAGTAAAATCCGCTTAACTAATTATTTAAGTCCACGAAATATTCGTTTCTATTCTTGCTGCAGGTTAGCGTAACGGTAACGTACATCTATTAGGTAACCCGCTAAGTGAGTGAGCCGACTAACCTGCCAGATTTCAAATTTCTACTAACATTTATTTTGTTATCTTATATTTCAGGTGTGAGTCAAGGACTAATTTCAAAAATAGTTAAGGAAGAGCATGCAGCAGAAGAAGCTGGTACAAAAATTCGGACACCAGGCAAGGAGAGAAAACGTAAAAGTGGATTTGTGCAAGTTGATGATTTTAACATGGGAGTTATACGGAGGAAAGTACATGAATTTTATTCTGCCAAAAAAGAGGTCCCTACTGTTAAAAAGCTTCTAGAGGTCTTAAAGACAGAAATAAATTACACAGGACAGCGAGAGAGTCTGCGAAAGCTGCTTCACAAGTTGGGATTTCGTTTTAAAAAATCTCAATCCAATCGAAAGGTTCTTATGGAGCGTAATGAAATATCAGCTTGGAGAGCTAAGTACTTGCATGCAGTGGATAAAAATAATAAATCTCCCCAGCCCCGGCCCATAATTTATTTAGATGAGACCTATATTCACTCTTCGCATACATCGGGTAAATGTTGGCAAGGAGACGGTGAAGACGGAGTATTGGAGCCTGTATCGAAAGGGCAAAGATATATTATTGTTCATGCGGGAGGAGATACTGGATTTGTTACAAATGCACTACTTGTGTTTCAATCAAACACAAAAAGTGGTGATTATCATGACGAGATGAATAGTACCAACTTTAAAAAGTGGGTTATTGAAAAACTTGTGCCTAATTTACGAGAGCGATCCATAATAGTGATGGATAATGCTCCTTATCACCGTATTTGTGTGAATAAAGTCCCAAATACGAATTCTTTAAAAAAAGATATGCAATTATGGTTGACCCAAAATAAAATTGACTACGGAGAGAATTTGACTAAACCTCAGCTTTTAGAAATAATTAAGAGAAACAAGCCTGAACCTGTATATGAGATTGAAAAAATTTTAGAAGACAATAGACATAAATGCTTATATTTACCACCTTATCACTGTGATCTCAATCCCATTGAACTCATATGGAGCACAATGAAAAGAAAAGTTGCTGATGTAAATATTGAGCACAAAAATGCTGAAATTCCCTGCCTAGTTAGAGAAGCTTTTGACGCTATTACAGTTCATGAGTGGGCACAGCATTGTAAACATGTTCGCAGGTTAGAAGAAGAATATTTAAAACATGATTTGTATTTAGATAAACCTTTTATTATAGAAGTTGTAAGTGAGACTGAAACCGAAAGCGATAGTGATAATGATGATAGTGGTACGGAAATAAGCGGAGTATGGCCTCACAACCAGGATGAAGTTGTGTATGCAGGTTCATTTAAAGATCACAATTACTGTAAACCTGGTTTTCAATAAATTATTATAAAGCAATTTGTTTTTTTTTTATTACACTACACTACCACTAGGTACCACTGCGTAACAGCTCTTTGAATGATAGATTATTTCATCAGCTTTGTGTTACTAATGACGAAGATTTCAACCGTTTATTGTTTCATACTGAAGTTCGTTGGCTATCAAGAGGTAACGGTCTGACTCGATTTTACAACCAGTTTGACTCTGTGATAGAGTTCTTAGAAACTAAAGAATGATAATGTTCAAAGAATGATATAGCTTACATGACAGACCTGTTTAAATTGTTCAACGAAATAAATCTCCAACTGCAAAGCGATGAACTAATTTTAATTAAAACAAAAAATGCCGTTGCTGCTTTCGCAGCCAAACTGCTTCTACACAAAAAGAATATGGGCAGACGTGAGTTTCATAATTTTCCGAATTTATCAGTATCCTGCAGTAACGACGAAAACCTCCACATTGACTTCACCGCACGATACCAGGACATTTTGAACTTGGAAATACCAGACTGGGTGTTTTGATCCGTTTTCAAATGTCAACACAGCAATGTCACCTCAGCTGGAAGAAGAACTTATAGAATTGACAACAAACGAGAAAATAAAAATCAATTTCAAAAATGGCTACCAAGATTTTGGCTACAAAAACCGATCCCGAAATTGTACCCTGGATTGTGGTCAATTGTTAAACGATTCTTGATAGCATTCCTATCGTGTGAACGTGGATTTAGTGCTATGGCCACGCTGCTTACTAAATAGAGAAATCGTTTGCATGTTACTGAACGTGGCGACTTGCGGCTGTTCTTGAGTAAATTGGAATCTGATATCAAAAAACTTATTAAACAGCATCAGATTCATCTTTCACATTAGTTTTTACATAAGAATCGATTACATATGTTTGTTTTATTTTGAATAAAAGATACTCTGTCTGAGTACTATAAAGTTGCGTTTCAATAATCATTCTCATTAGCAGGTTTAACCCGTAAGAGTTAACTTGAGACCTGAGCGCCGTTGTACCTACTGCGTTCAGCTCTCAAGTTAACTCTTGCGGGTTATAGTAAAAGTATCGTTTACAATAAATTTTTAATCTCCTCCAATATATCCGCTCACAATAATTAATTAATTTAAAGTTATAATGGTTATTAAGTAGTTGAAAAAATGGGGGCGCTAAAAAATAATTTATTCTCAGAGTGGGCTATGATAAATTTCAAATCCAAGAAGTGTTTCGGGGATTTTTTAATTTTTAATTACATTACAAGGTAACGTGTTAGGTTTAATTACTGTTTACAATTATAATAGACTACCTTTAACTTCGACTGCGTCTCTCGAAAATAATATTATTTGCCCGTTCACCTTTATAATATTAGTATCATATCACATCAACAGTCTTTTATAGTCCACCGCTGGACATTGGCCTCTACTTACAAAGGCGGTTTTGGCTGATGGATTAAGAATATGAAGTGTCACGACCCCTATTCATCCCGTTGGTTTCGTAAGAGCCGACTAAAGGAGCAAACTACGCAGGACAACAGCACTGCAAAGAGAAGGAAAATTAGACACAAACCCTATACCAATGCGTCTGGCCAGCGTGATATAGTAGGCCAAAACTAATAATACATACATGTTATAAAGTTATAAATTTATAATACACTAGCTGACCCGCGCAACTTCGTCTGCGCGTTTTCTCCGTTTTTGAAACATTCTTCATTGTTGCTCCGCTCCTATTGGTCTTAGCGTGATGATTTATAGCCTATAGCCTTCCTCGATAATTAGGCTATCTAACACTGAAAGAATTTTTCAAATCGGACCAGTAGTTCCTGAGATTAGCGCGTTCAAACAAACAAACAAACAAACAAACAAACAAACTCTTCAGCTTTATAATATTAGTATAGATACATGTTAGAGACACCCATTTTTATTATTAAAATAGTAGTCAGTTTTTTTTTGTATGTTGTCAGATGTTTTAAATGAACTTCATATTAGTGGAATAAGAATGTTTTACACAAATAATAAAAGAAGCACGTAACACGTGAAAACATAACTAAAAAGACTTTGCTTTGATAATGTTTTATTGCCACCCTTGTATTAGAAAAAAGGGATAGCTTTCAGGAACGAAACAACTATCAATTAAGCTGCTAAAGCAATGACATCATCAACACAGACCAGTTGATAATGACCGGTATATAAAGCGAAGGGTCTATTCATCATTACCAGTATACACGCAAACGTGCTGCGTGACGGGCGTGTGATGCAATTACTTATAATACGAAGTGAAAAAAAATTTAAAAAGTTTCGGAGTTGCCTATACCTTAGACGTTTTTGAAATTAGAATTTATTATTAACGGTGGATATTTTGAAAAAAGAACTCTTGAAGTGTTTTTGGCGCGAAATTTTTCGCACTCGATTTCACGGTAGACGAACATCACCAGCTAAGCAAGATGACGCAGGAAGGAGATACAATTAATATCCTGAAGAAAGTTGTTGTGGATGGCGTCATAATACTTTTACGTAAGTTAATACATTTACTGGGATTTCATTGGCAATTAAGTGTTTAGTTTTTTTTACATTGTCGTAGATATCTTTTTATTAGTAGCAATTAGACACAATGATAAAACGCATTCCATTTTTAAACATTATTTATTTTAGAAATTCTCTATGTTTATAGTATTAGTAGTGTATATTTTTTTTTTTTTTTTTTTTTTATAAAATATTAAACTATGACTTAGTGCAAAAGAACCTTTGAAGGAAAACCAAAATAGTTTTTATTTCAAAATGTACTTAGGACTCAGTTAATTATTATACGTGCTTATAAATAATTATTATACAACTTACTAATATTTTACCCGATTTTAACAATAAAACAGGTCCAATATCATTTCGATATGAAGATTGCCTCGGTGGCGCAGTGGGAGCGTATGCGACTGCTGTGCTGAGGTCTCGGGTTTGATTATCGAATCGGACCAAATGTTTGTATGATCTACAAATATTTGTTTCGGAGTTTGGGTGTTTTCTATGTATAATGTATTTACAAAGAAAAAGTCTTTAAGTATTCTATCAGTCAATCTAGCTTTCATAGTACAAGCTCTGCTTAGTTTGAAACTAGATGGCGTTGTGTGTTAGATGTCCAAATATTATTAAAAAAAACAAATATAATAAATATTATATCTTGTGTCTTGCGTCACTTAAGGAAATATCAATAGACGTGAAGGAAAATATACTGTAAACTAATCCATACTAATATAATACATAAAACTGAAGAGTTTTTGTGTTTGTTTGTTTAAACGCCATAATCTCTAGAACTGTCAGTCAGATTTGAATAGTCCTCATTGTAATGGAAAGAGTCACAAGCAACAACAACAGCCTTTAAAAGTCCACTGCTGGACAAAGGGGTGGTGACACTTCATATTCTTAATCCGTTGGAAAGAGTACTTATTAGGTAATAAATATAATAGGCTAAAACACGATAAACTCTTTGCTGCTAGAAATGGCTTATAATAATAATATTTTTAGTTAAAATTCGTCTTTTTGAATAACGGTACACTCAAGTTTTTAAAGAGGATTAATTCACATAAACCTGCTTTGACTTAAAAACAGTAAAATAGACATTATTTTTAACAGATTGTCAAGTCCTTAAGTCTTATGTTAATTTACTTATTTGTTCTTACCGTCAAGATGGAGGAAAGAGTAGTTTTCCTCCAGAATATCTCATCCCGGCAGGTTTCATCAAACCTTCAGAAAATCTGCCGCCTGGACACCTACTGCAAAGGCCAACATGGAGATCATTGAATCGCTTACGTATGCTCGTTCCACTTGAATCCCCTAGCTCAATCCTCTGTATGATCCCCCTCAGGGTCGAAGTGGAATGGTGAGTGTTGTAAAACACCCTGGAGGATTCAGCCAGGGGATTTAAGTGGAACGAGCGCGTACGTAGGTTGATTGTAGCAAGAGCAATATGTTTTTTTTTAGATAATTTCTTTATCTTTACATACTATAAATCCGATACCACCAAAACCGCGTAACGGGTTTTCCTATCAGAATGTTTGTATCTATAATATTTGTTATTCAGACTCAGTTTAGCTTTTATTTTAAACTTAGAAAAAACATTATTTTGTAATCAAGTTGCCGAAAAATAAATTCACTAGTCTTACGTAGGTTACACCTTAAGAGATACTTAAAAAATAATGTGTGTATACCTGTATGAAGCCGGGACTGTTCGTTAGGAATATATGTGTGTGTAAATTAATTAATTGAAATAAAAGTGTTTATTATTCCTGTAATAAATTGTACGAAAGATAACAATATTTAGGACTAATACTTACTTTTAAGTATTTGAAGGTATGAATTAATATGAAGTTATGAACTTATAATAATAAATAAAAATAATAATATAGATAGAATATATAAGATATACGAATTCACTTCATAAAAGTTGTAACTTGATAAATATAACCATTTCATGTAATTAATTAACAGTGATTTACACACTTAATTATGACAGAGACATTATGACACTACAAACATCGCAATATTTCAGACACGTGTAGCAGAAATACCAACGTACTCGTACATAAACTCTAAGTTTTAAATACAGGTTGTTGTATTTTTCATGAAGGACAGTTTATAAAAGATTCAAGACATTCCTTTTCAATGAAAACGGATTTATGTTGAAGTATACAATTATGAATATATTACGTGCCTTAAGACGAAAGTCTTCAATGCGTGTGTCCTACCCGTCATGACATTCGAAGTCGAAACGTTTATACACTTACGGTCCGACTGGTCCACAAGTTCAAGGTCACACAGCGTGCTATAGAAAAGGCTATGCTCGCCGTTTCTTTAAGGGATCACATCAGCAATGAAGTGATATGGCAAAAAACCAAGGTCATCAACGAAGCCCACCGGATCAGCAAACTGAAGTGACAGTGGGCTGGCCATATAAGCCGCAGAACCGACAACCGTTGGGGTTTGAGTTGGGGGGACAATGAGTTCTTGCGTGGAGACCGCGTCTCGGTAAACGCAGTGTAGAACGCCCACAGGCTAGGTGGAATGACGATTTGCGTAAGATGGCTGGCAGGAGCTGGATGCGAGAAGCTAAAAGAAGTGGCGTGCAATAGGAGAGGCCTATGTCCATCAGTGGACTGCCATAGGCTGATGATGATTGTAGATAAAGTAATGTTGAAGTATAATTACAATAAATGATTGTAATTATACTTCAACATTACTACTATTTATACAACATTTTGTTTACAAACAAACTCACAAATGTGTGTTAAAATATTCTCAGTTTACTTGTGATTTCCTTATGACTAACTGTCAGTTTATTCATATAGGTTTAATAATAACACTTCATATTGCAAGTATGTGGATAGATGTAATATAAACAATAGAAATAAATAAAGAAAAATAAAACACTTAGATATTTTGTTTCACACTTATAAATAGATTACAAAAGACATGAGAAAACATAATAATTTATATGCTGAATTATGCCTTAAGTAACGAAATATAACGCTTCTATGCGAAATATTTAGAAGTAGATTTTTTATACAAATTATTATTTTCAACAAACTTTATACAAACTGAAATGATAACACTCCCGTAGCATGCTTTAGCATTACTTAGCATCTTTGATAGCATGGAAAATAAGCTATAGGTAAACAGGTCTTGTGTTATAACTTTGCAGAGAATCACAGTAACTAATTTAATATGTTAATGTTGGTATTTATTTACTAGTAAATGAATACCAACCATCAAATGAATTTTGATATACAGAGTGTTACAGAAAAGTGTTGTCATAATCTATGGTCGTGTAGTTGATAATATTCATATAGTAGTATAATTATAGGAAAATTCGCGACATTTGAAACAGATAACTTATTTTAAAATTGTGTAATAACATTATTATTGTACCTCAGTACTGTATGTTAAACCGGTAAAGGTCATATTGCCATATTTCGTATTAGAGACTGGTGACTATAATTATGTAGATACATATATACTTATGCATACATTATTATTAAAATAATGCCAACCCCGTAGCATAGACAGTATAGTATTTAGCACATTTATTTACACTTTTTGTAAACATAAACAGTACAAACAAAGCTGTTATAATATTTACAATACCAGCAAAATGATGCTCTTTAATTATTAATCATTATTTTTACGATCAATATTTAAATTTCGAAAGGTTTTCGTTCGCCATTAGTATATGTTAATTCTACAGGCTTCGAGGCTCAAGGTCATGTTACACAGCCAGCCACGCGGGTTTAGAGGTCCTCGGCGCAAAAACTTGTACAGAACTGAACTTGTATGAACTCGCTTGTATAATATTCAATAGGTTATGTTATTCAATATGGTATATTGTGATTCCAAATATTTTTTGTGTTTTTATTATCTATTTATAGCTGTTTTTTTCTTTAATTTTTTTGTGGGCTAAACTTTAATTACATTTTATTATGCCGTACGTACTTGCAGACGTACGGTTCAACATAAGTATGTATTTAGTAATTGAAACATGTTTGAAAAGACAGTCGCTAATTAATTAATCGATTACAGACAACCAATTGGTTGAATAGTTTGCACAATCGAGTAGACATAAATTGCACACGCACTACATGTAGTCTATTATTATTTTCATTTAACCATTAAAGGTCATATCAGGAGAAGAAATATGTATGTACAGCACGCAATCAAACAAGCATCATTGCGAGGGAAATATCCACGTGCAAAAGAAAACTTTCTGTTTCGCACAGGACTAGTTAATAATTTTTAATATTGAAAACTGGTTTTTGTTGCATAACTATTACACCTAAATAACTAATACGTTTCGCTATCTGTCACCTAGATCGTTCTAGGTCGTGTTTGGTAGGGGTCACCAAAAAAGTCTATAGTATCGATAACTCGTATCGTAAGCGAAGCGCATGCTTTTTTTTATGAATAATAATATTCTACCACATTCACACAATGCCATCTAGTCCCAAACTAAGCAGAGCTTGTACTATGGGTACTAGACAACTGATATAATTACTTAATTTTTTTTGTAAATACATACATATTATACATAGAAACACCCAGACCAAATCAAACATTAAAAGTTCATGCACACAAATGTTTGACTTGAGCGGGAATCGAACCCGCGACCTTTGGAATAGAAGTCCGTTACACAAACCTCTACGCCATCCGGTCGTCAAAACGGCATATCAGATGTCTATGGAATTATTCTATATTATACGTATATACGGCTTTTAATTTCTTATACTCATTTTTAAGAAAGATTTCTTTAATAGTTCTCATTAATAAAACCAGTGTTTAATCTGCGCAAAAATTAATAATAAGGATTTCTACAATTCTAAAAAGAAACATATTTTTAGAAAACACAATATTTGATGCTCGAACTCAAACTAAAAGAAATAACAGATCACAAAAAAGGTTTTTAAATTATATTTGACGGTGCTACAGATATTTTAAACAGCACTGTTAATTATCCTTTTATCATGAATGTTCAAATTAAGAACGGAACAAGAGAAAAATGTTATTGTAGTTTGATGCGATACGATAAGTAATGTCGATATAGCATATGAATCGATGTTTCGATATAATGCATCGTATCGCACTAGTATTAAACAACTGTCCATGATATCATTAATTAGTTTTTGGGTCAATCTGGCTCATAAAGTTTCTCAATATTATACTACTACCGTTGATTATCTAAGATTTACTAAGCTGCTGAAACATACCGGAAGGTCAACTCTTACGATACAGGTGACCCCAGTTTAAGAGACAGAGTTTATTTTAAGTTTACAGATTTCTATAACCTAATATGTATATATGTTTTGTCCATGTTCTACTTCTAGTTGCAATCATCGTAATTTTATCTGTTGGCTTCTTGTATCTGTAACTTTGGCTGGATAAATAACTTAAAATAACTTCGTCCTATTTACTCTGGATCTCTCCAATATCATAAAAGGTATAATATTATTAGTAATATTTGACTCTAGTCTCTGTCCTGTCCTGTGACTCTGTCCTGTCTAGACTCTGTCCAAAGGTCATATATTTATCCAATATTTTGACAATTTTTACGAGATTTTCTATCTTCTAATATTTTTTCTGAAATTTGACAAATATTCGGCAGCAGCTACTAATTACGATGTTTTCTTCTTCAACAGTGACCGTGTGCACATTACTGTCGAACTTAGTTTGGGTGCCATTTGAGAGGGGGTTCTTCTGCGATGACGAGAGCCTCATGTATCCCTACAAATCCGACACCGTGACTGTACCAGTATTAAGAATAGTTGGTGTTTGCCTCCCAATACTGGCTGTAAGTACAAACAAAATATAACCTATAAAGTTATGCAAAACAATATTTAATGAAAAAAAATTAATTATCATCAGCCTTTACTAGTCCACTGCTGGACATAGGCCTCTCCTTGATGAGGAGGTTTTGGCCTACCATACCACGCTGAGCAGACCAGTTGGTTTAGGGGTTTGTTTCAAGTTTTCCTTCTCTTTGCAGTGCTGTTGTCCTGCGTAGTTTATTCCCTTAGTCGGCTCTTACGACAGCCATGGGATGAATAGGGGTGGTGGTGAGTCAAATTTCAATATTAAAAATAATTAACGTTTGGATATCTAAAGTTGGTTTGGCAAATGACCTGGGCCTCAATTCTGCTATTTTATGTTAAGGTACAAGCCACTGTCATTCCATTGACACGCTATGGAGATGCCAGTGACATCGGTCAATATATCGGTATTCTACTTACATCAATTCACAGTGTCATTAGACCGTCAATTTAGTGACAATAGCTCATCCATCATGACAATTATCATCAACATAATTGTCATATCTAGAAAATTAAATACATTATTTCCTTTCAAATTTAAAATGTACTATATACCAAACTATTACAAAGACACCGACGACACTTGTATCAAAGCCAGTTCAGTAATAAGTCATCGGGAGGCCATTGGTCTTACATAGTTAGTAGAATAAGGAAAGTGCAAAGCTATTCCGACGACATTCGATCGACAGTCTATTGATACAATATTAAAATAGCGGCATTGAGGCCCAGATGGGTCACATGATGGCGAGTGACTGCTGTCGCGCATGGACAACTTTAAGAGTCACGTGTGCTTTGCTGCCCTTTGAGTGAGAAGTTAGGTTGGGCTCTGGCTACCTCACTCACTCAGTGAAAAAGATCGAAAAAATTACTTACCACCAGTTTTCTGCGAGGCCGTGGTATCACTCTTGTCGAGCCATAAAATATTTTAGTCAACCCGTACAAGCAATAGTGGTATAAGTATTTTATATTTAAATATTGTAAAAATTCAAGTAAGATCTTGATGCTAATTCATAAGCGTCAAAAAGTTATCGTTTCATATATAATACGTAGTAGATACGATAGGAAACTAAAGCAAAAATCTCGTTTAGTTTACCATAATTATTCATTTCAAATAACTTAATCTAAAAAACAAGTTTGATGTAATTTCAATTAACATATGTCACCTAAAAAAACGAAAAAACTTAATGCACCTTCGTCATGCAGACTTGTAATAAATTTCATTTTACGCTTAAGGGGTAGAATTTTTTCTTCAAATTTAAATGAACCCAAACGGTCAATATACTCATTAAAATAAAAACAGAATTTTCCAAATCGTTTCATAAATAACGGAGTTTTGAGATACAAACAAATAAAATAGAGCCGAATAGAGAAGCTAGTTCTTTTTCAATTTGAATTAAAAAGTGGTTACTGACGTAACTAAATTAGGTCTAGGCATTACAGAGGCTATGAAACGATGTACATATCATACATATACATTGCAACATAGTTTATTTATAAAGATAAATAAACTATGTTGCAATGTTGTATTTGTAAATAAAATTAACGGTCATGATTCGGTTTCAAAAATAACGAAATAGGTTACTTGGACAGGATATTTATGTGTGACGTAAGCCTTTCGCTCCATTTACAAAAAAAAATGATTGGTGATATGATTGCTGAATGATTCCATAATATGATTATTTAAAAGTAGCAATAATATCTAAGTAATCTTTGCGGTCAGATTTTACTGAATTTTTGCAAGTTTCACTGTCTTCTTTGACCGGATTAGTAGTTATGCTTTGAGAGCAAAGTTTTTTTATTTTATTTGTGTCCGATCTTCTAGTTGTATGTTTGTAAGTAATCTCATGTTAACTCTTCCATGACTATTAGTTTCAGTAGATTAGTGATATTTATGTATAAAGTACCTATCTATTATGTCACGGTAGATAACTGCAAAATGTTATAATTAACCGTTTCCAGTCTTTGTCCGTTCATTTCCCACGAAAATTATCTCTGAATGTTTATCTTAAAATAAAATAAATTAAATAATTAATATAATTATTCAAACGTCTGAGCTAAGTCGTTAACAGCGACTTTTCACTGTCATTGCTTTAAATTAGTGTTAAAAAACGTAGCTTGTTAGATTTCATTTGATAAATTGCTCGACACATTTCTATAAAGATTCGATATAAGTATAAATAAATGGAATCTTTTAGCATATTGAAATTTTAGCCTTGTGCGAATATTCTTTTTCAACAAGAATTTAAAAAAAAATGGATGAAGCAACAGCAGGATGCCTGCCAGCTTGGGACTATAAGGAAGTCCTATTATGTCCGTTAAGTTTTTCAGACGGCCATATGTGAGATGTGTATTTTTTTTGTTGTAAATATGTATTTACACATAATTAGTGGCAGTAAAGACCTATAATTTACAGCCATAATGGCGGCTATAAAGTCTGTGATTGACACACCTGAGCTCCACAAATAATTGAATTAAGTGCTTATCACCGTGTCAACTCGCCTAAACGTTATGGCGATAACGCTATTATAACCTTCTACCAACTGTAACAACACTTTTGATCGCGGTTTAAGGTCAGGTTTAGGGTCTTCCCTTTATTCCTTATTTTCAGTCATATCACCATTATTATCAACAGCCTTTAATAGTCCACTGCTATGTTTTGCAGGCCTCTCCGTATGGGTTGGTACAGGGTTTGTTTCAAGTTTGACTTCTCTTTGCAGTGCCGTTGTCCTGCGTAGTTTGCTCCCTTAGTCGGCTCTTACGACACCCACGGGATTAATAAGGGCGGTGAATTTATTTGCTTGCTATTTGACATTACAGAGATTGTTGCTTTTGTGTATGTTGATCTATAGCTGCTACTAATAATAATGTTTATTGCCACAATCAATTTCAGAAAAACTAAGTTTGAGAATCGTAATCTAAGATGTGCTACTCGCGTATTCCAATTATCTCTGTGTCGCGGTTTGCTGCTGCCCAGTAAGTTTATTAACCATTTTCGTTCTATATTAAACATGTTTCATCGTAATAAATGCTTTAAGAACTGTAAATTACGATATAATTTCCAATGGATATTACCTGTACTTACGTCTGTTAGAATATTGTCATCGTTATCGCTGTGTAATGTTGCGCTTTGTAAATGCATTTTACACTTATTTTTTGTCGTACACTGTGTGTTACTGTGCCCAGCGTTTCACTATTGGTTTTTGCTATCTACCTGCTTTATTCATTATATTGACAATTTCCAGTTGCCTTTTGAAATGGATTTACTGTTGTTTCTTAATGTGTTTATTCATAATTTAATAGTTAAATGTGTTACAAATGGCACTTAAAATATACTACCAAAACGTTCGTGGTTTGCGTACTAAAACTAACAATGTGTTCCGTAGTATATGCCTTAGTTCGTATGATTTAATTGTTTTTACGGAGACGTGGCTAGACGATAATTTTTATGACCGTGAACTATTTGATGATCGATATCTTGTATGGAGACGGGATCGTAACTTCTCTCGTACTGGTCAATCACGGGGTGGTGGAGTTTTGATCGCGGCAAAGAGGGAATTAACGGTTGTGCAAAAGAGTGATTGGTGTAGTTCTGCTGAAGACTTATGGGTAACCGTCTTACTACAGAGATCCAAGCCGAAGGTAACCTATAATTTGAATATTTTTGTACTATATCTTTGTAAAGAACATTTAGGTAATTCTTATAAAACTCAGTTGCAAAACTTCTCTAATAAAATAAATAGCTTAATTCTTGCGCACCCGTTAGATAAGTTTGTTATACTTGGCGATTTCAACTTTGGTAGCGAGGTAGCCTGGTCTAGTGTAAATTGTGAGAGCGCCGAATTACACGCACATAGCTTTAATTGTCCCTACATCACCGAATTTTTTGACACCTTACTTCTAATTAACCTGAAACAGTACAACGGTGTGAGGAATACTAACGATAGACTTTTGGATCTCGTTTTCTCCAATGACAGTGCAACGGTTAGTGAATGTGACAGCCCCTTGGCTGAGCCTGTAGACAAACACCATAAACCTCTTATTGTAGAAACTGGGTTTGTAGAAATTCATAAACTATCCGTAAAATTAAACAACAAGTACATTTACTCCAAGCGTGACTACGATGCTGTAATGTCTGAGCTCAATGTAGTTAATTGGGCCGAGATCTTGTTGACAGGTTCATTGGATAACGCCGTCTCACTTTTCTACAATAAGCTTTACGAGTTACGAGATAGATATGTTCCTTTAAAGCCAGTAAGCAAGATGTCGAATCCCCCATGGTACAGCGCGGCTTTACACAAAATTTTATAAGAGAAATACAAATTTCACCGCAAATATAAAACATATGGTAATAAATCCGATTACCACTCTTATTCCATTCTACGTAAAAGGGTACACGAGGTGGAAAAGCGGTGTTTTGAGGAGTATATGCGCAAAGTAGAAGCCGCTATTGTAAGCAATCCAAGGTCATTTTGGGCTTATGTAAAAAGTAAGAAAACAAGTGGTTCATTCCCAAATATAATGAGATACCTTGATACATCTGCGGAAACTGGCGAGGAGATAGCTGAGCTATTTGCTTCTTTTTTCCATTCCACCTTCCAACAACCAGATCACGATAATACTTTGCAGACAGGTAATGACGTTACTAATGATATGATGACTATCGGCTCCATAGAAATAAATCATGATCGTGTATTGAGTTTGTTGAAGTCTTTAGACCTCACTAAGTCGGGTGGTCCCGATCACATATCGCCAATATTTATAGTCAGACTCGCCGATAGTATCGTTGGGCCTGTCTGTATGCTATTTAGGAGATCCATCTCGGAAGGCACTATCCCACAGATCTGGAAGTCTGCGTTCGTTACACCTATTTTTAAAAAAGGAGATCGGTCGAATGTAGAAAACTATCGACCCATTTCCAAAATATGTTTATTTTCAAAAATTCTGGAAAGAATTGTATATACACAGGTTTACTCAGCCTTGAGGAGTAATATTAGTGAAGAACAACATGGCTTTTTAAGGGGACGCTCCACCACTTCCAACTTGCTCCTGTCAATTGATTTTATAACGCAGGGCATGGAGGAGCATGGTCAGGTAGACGTAGTTTATACCGACTACAGTAAATGTTTCGACCGTATCGACCATGAAGTGCTTTTAAATAAACTACTGTGCGCAGGAATACATGGCGACTTGTTTCGGTGGTTCACTTCTTACATTGAGAATCGCACCCAGGCAGTAGTATTACAAGGGTACTGCTCTAGACCATATAAGGTCCCTTCCGGTGTGCCTCAAGGTTCGATTCTCGGATCGTTGCTCTTTACATTGTTCATCTCTGATATAGGCAAATGTTTTCAACACTCCTATATTTTACTATATGCCGATGACATGAAGATTCATAAGGTGATACGGAATGAATTAGACACTGAAAATTTACAAGCAGATCTTAACAGATTAGAAACTTATTGTAGCATACACAAGCTCGAGCTAAGTGTAGCTAAGTGTTTTTGTGTTACTTATTCGAGGCGGAAATCTATTACTGACTCAGGGTACACATTATGTAGCCAAAATATCAAGAAAGTTGATAAAGTTAGGGACTTGGGCATTGTGTTGGATACCAAACTTCTGCTAGACCAGCATATTGATGCAATTGTTACGAAGGCATCAAAGGCATTAGGATTTATAATTAGAACCTCATCCACTTTCACATCTTTAAAAACTTTAAAAATTCTATATTGTGCCTTCGTGCGCAGCCATTTAGAGTATGCCTCGCAGGTTTGGAACCCTCAATATAAAATATACAAATTGCGTATTGAAGGTATTCAAAAAAAGTTTTTGCGTTACCTTGACTTTCGAGCGCAACAGTTCTCGGCTAATTACGAGCATCGATGTAAGAGATATCACTTCTTACCCCTAGAATGTAGACGTCAAATAAATGACGTCTGCTTTTTATTAAAGATTGCGAACGGGTCGTTGGACTCTCCCGAGCTTGTCTCAAAAATATGCCTACGTGCCAATCCAACAAGATTCCGGCAGAGACCATTGTTAAATGTTCCTTTGGGCTCAGCAAATTACAGACGTAATTCATTTTTCTTGCGTACTGCGGTAACTTACAACAGTATTTCCTTAGACCTAGATATTGACCTATTTCATAACAGCCCCGCTGCAATAAGGCGGCGTTTGGCAAATAGATTTTTTGAATAATGGTTGACTTGCTTGGCAGTTTATCGTCATATGGTGTTGTTGTTGTTGATGTAAACATATACTCAATAATGGTTATTGTGGCAATACTGCATTTGATGTGTTCTCTTCATTGTCTGTGGAGAGAATACATAACAGTGGGTACTGTGATATACCTACTGCAAATTATATTGATATAATCAATCTAACATATTTCCCCTTATAAATTTTTGTTCTTATATTATCTTCTTTTAAGGTTTGATATTGTTTTTATGTTTTTTGTTTCTATTCACTTTCTTATACATATGTGGAGGCTTGTTATAAGCAACCTTTTTATTGATATTTTTACTTAAGCAAATTTTGTTATTAGTCTGTAAGCCTTATTAAAATGAAATAAATAAATAAAAATAAATAAATAAATGATTTTAGAGTCTACATTAAAGACGATTTCAAACAAATTTTTTTTAATGAAATAAAAAAAATTGAGTTTGAGTTTGACAATGCGTATGCTTAATCCGTATCTCTTAAATCTGTATAAAGTTGTTTGAAATAAATAGTCCTGACGTAATATCAAACTACCGCATTGGACGTTATTGACGACGACTATTGTTAAAACAAACATTAATAGTCTATGATTACATTGACTATTAATGTTTGGCTTATCAATGAAAAATACAAATAAACTTGAATACAAATACGTTTATTAGTCTTATGTGTTACTTAATTTCATGAGAATTGTTAAACAATTTAATTTTATCATAAAATAATTACTATTATTGTGTGTGTATCGCAAAGCAGTACTCGTTATACTCATTATTTGTACCATTACTTAACTGCCCAGTACGTGGAAACAGTGCATTTCGAACAATCCGAAGAGATCAGGAAGGCATCATTGTGGTCTAATAACACACGGTTGAAAGCTATTAACGTCAATAAGAGGAATGTGCTTTATAGGTGGCAGAATAATACCCATATCAACAATGTTGTCTTTTTGTTTAACGTCTGCTAAAAGAGAAGGTTCGACTGAATATTGTGTATATTATGCGTTGTTTGCTTGTTGTTATCCGATTAAAATTTTCATTGATCTTGATATAGAACTGGTTGTACTCAAAATTGGTTCCATTTAAGTTTGAAGAAAAAAATTTATCGCTTAAAATGGTAAAATTGATCATGATTTAAGTGGTTTAAAGTCGCCACCGACTTTAAAGCACTTAAATCTTTGACTTTTATCTCTGAATCTTTAATATGAGGCCATGCTGAATACTATTAAACTACGCTGCAAAACGATACCCTGTAATGATCATCCCAATTCGGTCTCCATTTATTTATCTCCTCGAACTATAGTGAATTGATACAAGACACAATTTCCACTAGTAAATCATGATTAGAATGATTAGAAGTACCCAATTCATCAATATGATCCATTATTACCAGCAAGTAGCAAAAGTTAATCACAGCAAACCAGTTTCTACTCACAGATCATTACATTAAAACAATATTCAATTATTTTGCGTCTATTGTTTGAACACGCGCTACACGGCGGGCAACATGCAACGTGACCCAATCAACTTCGACGTAGAGTAGGTATCCATTCGATCATTTGACGTCTAATTGACATAACTATTCAAACGCTTGTCAGTTATAAGATATGAGGCTAGTTATTTCGCTAAATATAACTTATAACTGAGTAACGTTTGTTTAAACACGCTAGGCTATCATCCAGTTCTACCAGTTTGAGTATTTTTTCATTGGGTGGGTGTTTAAATATAACAACACGCACACATAGCATTGGAAATAACTCTTAATTTAAGGCTTGAGTTTTTTAGGCGTAATTTAAACTCAAGAACACGAGTAAACATATTCATTTAGATCATTTTTTCCTGTAAATGCAATACTTGGATCTTAAATAAATGGAAAACATATTTAGAAATACTTTTTGCTTTTTGTTCATATGAAAAACTTGACAACCGCAAATAGACACATTAGTAAATCCAAATATTTGCGTTGTGTCAAATACATTTTATTGACATTACACATGAATAAACACACGTAGCACAATACGCTAATAGAGGTCTACCTACCCAGCAGAGGCGCGCTTACCAGCCTCATGCCACCATGTCTTTGTAAATTTTTCAAAAAGTTATACAATTTTTTTATTGATTTTTTAAAGTTAACTAAACATTAAGTATTGTTAATTTTGGTTAACTTTAAAAATCATTATAACAAAATAAAAAACTTTAATTTAGTTTTATCGCGTGATCTTGTTAAGTATATGTATAAAAGGGTCTTTAAATTAAATTTTATAGATATATTATAATATCATAGATATATTTAAACTTTTATGTAGTAATTTAAGATAACAGAGATGGGAATAAAAAAATTAACAATAGGATAACTTTTTTTTAAAATTAACTAAAAATATTTTCCAACGGGGATTTATACTTTCAAGGGTCTAAATAATACCATAATTTCTTCAAATTTTTAAATTAATATTTGTTACTTGAAAAAAATATTTTATGTGGTACACTGTCTTTAGCGGTAGGGCGCCTGCGTCGTTACGGCTGGGTGGAGCCCTGTTTTCGGCGTTGAATTAAAATTATAAATAACAGAGATGCAGCATGCAATTTTTTTTAAATTAAAAAAAAATGTGACCAGATCTGGTTGAATTTTAATTAAACATCAGTCAGTAGCTAATCAAAAAGTATAAAATATTCATTATGATACTTGTTTACAGACGTGGCAAACACTATTATTGAATATTAGTTTATTAACTTCATTGTACACCTACTTAGAGCTGACTTTGTTCATACCACGTACCTACCTAATGTTTACTCGTAAATTCAAACTAAAACGTGTATTTACATATTTCACTAGAGATTACCTTATTTTTGGAAAGGTTTTATAATAGGACGATGAAAAGTCAAAAATAAAATATGAAACATTGAAATAAACATCTAACGGAACGATTCAATGCCTTAAACGTAACTGATACTTTAGAGAATTAGATGGGAAAATCGGCAGTATATTAAAAGGAAATGTAGATAAGAAACTACGTAACCCTAAAAAGGTCAATGGTAGGTAATGATAATTATTAAACGAATCGGTTAATTTAGTTAACTTGATAAGTTATTGTAAACGGGAAATTTCTGATAGTAAACATAGTAAATTTCAATTTTGAAATTTAAAAAATTGGAATTGCTAAACCCATATAGCACTGTCGGTCATTTCCTATAAATGTTTATACAAATTAAGCTATATCTTATAGTTTATCAACCTTTTTGTTTAACATGAATCTCGTTTAACGGGAGTGCGAAAGTAACTTTAAGTTTTAATATTTTTGAAGGAGACTAAAATGTAAATTAATTTTATTAGTATTTGTTGAGTCCCCAGCATAGGGTATAGAAGTGAAATATTGAGTGTTGTACAGTCGCCTGGGGGATTGAACCAGGGGATTCAAATTGAAAGAGCGATACGCTTTGCGGTGCGCTTTTCGAGACACTTTTTGCCCCGTACAACTAATCTGTGGAACGGGTTATCACGGTATTTCCGGACCGATACGACCTTCAAACCTTCTAATTGTAATCGAGGCACGTGCGATTTTTAGTCGGTTCGTGTCCGACATAGCCATCAGTGATTGGTATCCGAGGGGATTTCCGCACAGAAAAAAAAAAGGGTGGATTTAAAGACTGGAGTCAGTAGTAACTAAAAATAATTGTTTAATACAAAACAACATTAATGATTACAGTTTCTAATCTGCGAGTGGAATGTCCTACGCAAGGACACAACAGTTGTGCGTTGTTACGGGGTACCCATCCCTACGTGGGTCCGCGGTTTTTACTGCGTTCTTGCATCGTTCGCCGTTGGCTGCTGTTTCACGGAGTTAGCCATCAACACTTCCAAAGCTGTCATTGGAAGACCTAGACCACATTTCTTTTCGGTAAGTTATATCTAAATATTAATTAGATTTTGTCAATATTTTTTCGGCTAAGAAAAGTAGCCTATGTGCCACACTAGACTCATCTATCTCTATGCCAAATTTAATACAAATCTATTCACTAAAAGTGGAATCAGAAATTTGGTCTAATGATTTAGTGGTTAGTGATCCTAATCGCTGCGATGAGGTCCATGTATACAACATATACCACCCAGTCGAAGCCTAAAATATATTTTTTATCAGATCTGTCAACCATCGGTAAACTGCAGTCTATCGGAATGGAAGGGAAGGTATGTCCTACCCACCGACTACACATGTACTGGCCCAGACGTAGACAAGATACACGACGTGCGCAAAAGTTTTCTAAGCGGCCATTCAGCGTTTTCTGCTTTCACCATGTTTTATTTAGCTGTGAGTATCTTTTAATAATTTTATTATTTCACATCTGTTCATATTTTTATAGATTTCTTTTGTGATATGAATGACAAACAACAGGTCACCCACGATATTATCAATAATAGCTAATACACCAAACTAGAGAGAAGTCAATGTTGGTGCATAAACTCATAGTAAGAAGCCAGAAAAAGACCTTTCGGATGGTCATGCCAAAACAGCTTTTTTGTTTCTTCTTATCTTAATTATATATTCGTAAATTTCACATTTAGTCAAATTTCGTGAGAATACGTGGGAGAGCAATGCTTCGGCATAAATGGACCGGCTCGACCGGAGTGTTACAGCAGCCTCACAGGAATCTTTGCGTTGCTTTACACCCAGTACTCACTGGTGTGGTTACCGGAGCCCAAATCCCCCCTGCACCTAATTCTGAAGGGATGTCTTAAGGGACGGCAAGTCAATTGTGACTCTTGACTTAGCGGTTAGTGGTCTCTGTAGCACCTTATTATTTTACTGTACAGCTTATATTTAAAGTGACCTCGTTGTGTATCTTCATAGAGATATCTAACAGCTGATTTATCAGGAAAATAGGTTAATACATTGACTTGCATTATGGGTGCAGCAATTGGAATATTAATAAACAGTGTATTACTAATTTGTCATTTCGGTGGAAACAATTATGGAAATGTAATAAATCTCAGGAACTACTAATTCCAATTGAAAAATTTATTTTAGTGTTGGATAGCCCATTGATTGGGGATAGCTATATAACATCACGCTATGACCAATAAGAGCACAGCATCAGTGATAAACGTTTCAAAAAACGGGCAAAAATGTATTCCCTTGGCTTTTAAGAGACACAGGCGAAATACGTAAAGAACGTAAACGGCGCACGTAAACATATATACTCGTATTTATTTCATTCATTTCCATTAAAATGATGATTTAACTACAAAAACACATTTTAATTAATTGAATAATTTACACAGTTATGTTACTTCTACTTGGAAGACTATGCTCTGTCTACCATTACCTTGGTCATGTGTTTAATAGGATTATTTACTTTTAATTAATATGAAAGATTTACAGCCAAGACAATACAGGACAGTAATAGCAAATATTAGGTTACAGGGTTCGCTCACTTACACATACTGCAAATATATTTCCATAAGCATTATAGTTATTTAAGTCTCGTTATAAAATTAATGTGCGAAAATCTGGATTTCACATTTTACTCTTACATCATACGTTCATACATCGTACGTTCATAGAACATCATACGTTTCACACGTGAGTGCCAGTGTCTATGGCTTGTGGCTGTGGTGAATTCCACGAAGCCAGTGTTGCTTCATTGTGCGTGACATGGCTGCCACATTTGAAACTGTTTTTGACACAGGGTTGCCACCTGTATCTTAATTTATTATTATAAATATTTCATGTAATTTGTGTTGTATATTTTGTTTCAAAAGTGTTTTTATTTTTGTAAAATTCGTACATGAGAGCTGTCGTGTGTTCTAGAAATGAAATATGTTTTCATTATTTATTTCTAGAAATTTACAATTTAGCCATCTACACCTGCTGATTCAGCACATGTGGCCTTTCCAATTGGAAAAATACCCCGATCTCCCAATAAACGGTGTAAACTAATTTTGACCACCCTTACCACTAATTATGTTTTACCTTATTATTGTCATCCATATATAACATTGTAATGAATATTTATCTCTTTCCTTCTTTACAGATGTACCTGGAGAAACGCATTCAGTTTAAAGGCAGTTGTACTCTCCGCCACACGCTGTCATTCATCGCTGTGCTGCTGAGCTGGTTCTGCGCCCTGTCGAGGGTGTCTGATTACAAACACCACTGGAGCGATGTCCTTGCTGGATACACACTTGGTATCCTATTGGCCGTTGTTATGGTTAGTCAGACATATTTTAGCATAGTTCAGACATATTTGATAAGTAGATACTTTTCAAGCTCAGAAAATATCTCCAAAGTCTTAAATAGCAATATTTTGCTGTTACGAATACTTTGACACAGGTCTCGTCTCCCATATAAAGTGTAAAGCTCAGCACAGCAAATTGATCATTAATGAAACGGATACAAAGAATACCCAGGCAAAAATCAACTATTTGTGGATCAAACAAATGAGGATCGAACTCACAACATTCAGTAGGAAGCAGCGAGGGGACTACTTAAATCCATAACATGGAACAATCCATTATGGAAGTTCTGCAATATATTTTTTTCCTAAGAATATAGATAGTTATTTTAAATAGGAACCTAGGGTTCTTGTGGTAATATAATCGATACTAATCAAGTCAAATAAGCAAAATTGTAAACTCTCTCCTAAAGGATAAGTGATATTTTTAAAGAGTTTGATAACATAGGACGACACTTTGTGTGATCCACAAATTGTTGTTCTGAGTCTGGGTGTTCTTTGTGTCCGTTTCATGTATGTTTGTAAAGTCCCCCGCGACACAGGATATATTCCTAATGCGGGAGTTGTCTTTTTAAAAAGAAGAAGAAGAAGACATAACATAAGTGGTTAATAAACACAGCGTAATTATACGTTATGGTTATTTTATTTTTTCAGTGGAATTATGGAACAGAACTCGTTCAGAAAGAGAAAAAAAGCATCCATTGTGAACCAGCAGCGGTCAGTCCACCTGTGACAAATATGAACGGAGTGCACTAAACAAAATACTATTCTTTTGGGTTTAGCTCCGATTCAGCGAGGACTCGAGGACATTTCATGTGAATAAAATATTAACCTAATCCCATTACAATAGAGCCTAGATTTATGTGCCTTTCTTTTCCAAAACTTACGACTTGCACGTGATATTCAGCTCTGTCTATGAAGAATTTGGTTAATATTTTATTGAAATTTTAAAACGGCACAAATAATTAACCGCTGACTTGACAATTAGAAATAATTGCCATAAGCCTTTCCGTGATTACGTGACGGGGCATTATATTGATGCATGATGATTTATTATCATTATTGGTCGAAAACAATACTAATTAGTAGAAGACAATAATAGATTTTTGGGATACATATGGAACCTTTACTAATTTGAACAGTTATAATTAAAATCTATAAAACTATTCATTTATGAAATTGATATGTTAATGCATTAATTTCAAATTGCAATCCCCGCAGTATGTTGACGTAATTTCGTGATAAGGAACGGAAATGTGTAATATGAGGTCGAGGAAACGCGCGCCATTTAATCTGACAAAGGAGCGCCTGCGTTGGAAGAGTTGCCCGTCAGATGGTAGGTTAAATGTCAGTTGTTAAACATTATAATGCGACGCTCGCTCATTGTGATGCAGACGAGTCTTAATAAACGAGTCTTAGTATTATACTGTACTCGGTTGTTTTTGCATATTAATTGCTGCAAATAAGAAGTATAATACCATTGCGGCCTTAACATAATGAAAATATTTAATGTGTCAAATAATAAACGCATTGTATTTCTACTTTACTTTTATAGTAAGTGTAACTATAAAGCTCGTAAAGTTTAAATAGCAGTGACGAAAAATCAGTTTTATTTTATATTAGTTTATATTAGTTTTTTATTTATATTAGTTTTGAAACTTAGTGAGTCCCACTTACCATCTGACGGACTGTATGCTTGTATGCTACCTTAATTTAAGAAAATAGAATCTCAGCTCATCTTGCGTAAACTTCTGTTTACATGAGATCGATGCTTTCCAGGAACAGTTTTTTTATTATTTCTTGATGTATTATGAGATAAATTTAAGTAAATAATAAAAATAAATTCTGTATGTATGTTCATACAGAAATGTTGTCGATAAATATATAAGGCAGACTAACATTCGCGTGCACTTACTATGTTTAGACATCGAATCTAGGTGAAGACAAAGTATCTTAATAAAAGAACCGTGTAAACATAGTATTTAATCGAGTTTTGATCCGAAGTTACCACAAAACGAATACTTAGAGCAATTTTTTATAGTCATCATTTTAAATAGGCAGCTTATTTACTAAATTATTAATTACCTTAACACCCATCCACATATTTCCTGAGTTTACAATTCCGGATGTTCATTCAGAACATAAGAAAGATTCAGAACATAGTACCTATGTATTGCAAAAAAGTGTGCAAATTAGCTTATTTCAGTTTACTCTGAGAGCGGACTGTTGGTGCAGTGGCGACTAGCGGTTAGTCATACTGACTGATAAGATGGAGGACGTAGGTTCGATTCCCACCCGGGACAAATATTGTGTGATGAGCAAGATAATTTGTTGTGCCTGGGTGTATAATATGTGTGTATTGCCAAATATAAAACTATGTTTATTAGCAGTATGGTTACCATTTTTTTATACGTGTGGAAACCCCTTCGGGCCGTCTCCCCACCGGACCGACTAAAACCACACGGTGTGCCACTCTGAGCACAGGCTCAGACCAGCTTAAGATCAGACGACCGTGTGTAAGATATTGGAGGTTATTATAAATTATTAGCCTTGTTGCACAAACTGTGTTGTTAATACAACCTACTCGTATGTACTGTGTTGACGACAAAATCATTGATTTAGACATAACGGATATGTGGATGTGAGTTTTACTATTTAAAAACATCTTTTATCGATTTATTTTAGATATTTTTAGATATGAATAGTATCTATAGAGCTAGTAGGTAATAGTATTTACAAATATGTATAAAATATTCTAGCCAATTTTAAAGAGTGAAGAAGGAAACAGATTTCCCCTATATAATTGTTATTGAAGTTTAGAAGGCTGTGCCACGATGTATCAACGTTTAGTTTGTAATTAAAATATGTGAATAAAACAATATATATATATAGTAATATATAAGGCATGTTTTATAAATATGAAATATGAAATGTATATTGGACATCAGTTGTATCTTTTATTTAAAGGACGCCTAAACTGTTTATACCTATTCTTGAATATATGTAGACACGGTGTAAGGGACGTCGTAACGAATACTGAAATAGTGTATTCAGACTATCATTCTAATCATTGGTATTTTCTCCCGGAAAATTGAACTTTTTATGCAATAAGCTGTCAAAGGTTAAGGTCATTCCCCGTAGGTATCGCACAAAAGTAATAACTACATGTGTATTCCGTGCAAACGAGAGGAGGCCTCGCGCGCTCTCTACTCATTGTGATATTATTTTTCATCATTTTTAACCAGAAAAAAGGAAAATTAAAAAAAAAATGATGAATTTTCCGTCAGAAAATTTCCATGATTTTCGACTCAGAATCAGCGTCTGGATACACTATTTCAGTATTCGGTACGATGTCCCTTACACCTTGTATATGACTATGAATACAGAAGAAAATGCTGTTTCATATTATATTGACTGGGCTCTTGGTCTAATGTTCAATGATCATGACTATAGAGGTCGTCGGGCCCATTCTCACGGAGGACAAATAATTGTGTGAGTTTAGTTATTTAATTGGTTCACCAATAATTGTAAACACTGGTTAACATTTTAAAGACATTTTGCAATGAGTATGAAGTGGCATAGCGGTACAATTACTTATAGGTAAGCGAGCGTAAACAATAATTTTTATATGCTTACGAGTATGCTAAATTTATGCAAGTAGGTTTTGGCAAAAACAGATAGAATCAAATACAGTACCTTTTTAAAAATATTATACATATATAGTATATTTATCTATGACGTGGATGTATTTAGGAATACATATATGTATAAGTATGTTTTCAAGCAGTCTAATTACCATACCTTAGACTCTATCTATTATTATTATTATTATATGCCCCTCGTTCAAGTCAATTGGATCCTTTGTCAAGATCTTAATAAATCAGTGCGCCTGAAGATGTTTATATAGCAATATGACAGAATATCAGTCTCGCTATAACGAATTTAGTAGGAACTTCTATTTCAAATATCTTCTATACAGTGTCTGTTTTTTAATGTCAAAATAATAGGTTTTTTCATGCTTACATGGTTATTTGCACGATACTTATGCCTAGAAACCAGTTTAAATATTTTTTGTTTGTCTGTCTTTCTGTCTGTTTGTTCCTGGTAATCTTGGATTTGATAATATCTCACTACCAAGTAGCTGTCTATATAAGGAGTAACTTAGGCTATTTTTTCTCTCAGAAAAACCCTATATATAAATTTTGCCTGGTCCGGGAATCGAACTCACTGAGGCAGCGCTTTTCAAATTCGCGGGCACCAGCTAGTATTTCAATATTAATAATCACATGTTCAATCACTTGTTCCATTGTCTGGCAATCTATCCCGTACACCACACAGACACCTACGATATCTGTCATTGAAGGTTCCCACTTGAGGTACATTAAGGAATGCTGTCGACAATATTGCATAGATTTATTTTGTAAAACACATATTTGTGTAATTGTCAATTATGTTTTGAATACTCCACGACTAGTAGTTTACCTTTAAGTGTCGCGTTTAATACTTCGGAAAGATTATTTCCAAAAAAAACAGAATAAATTCTTTCAAAACAGATTATCCTCCTCGGTCCCTTGAATAACCTACAAATCATCATCATTATCATAAGCCTATCGCAGTCCACTGCTGGAGTTAGGCCTCTCCCATTGCACGCCACTTAGATCGATTGTAGGCTTCTCGCATCCTACACTACATTTGCCGAGACGCGGTCTCCACTCAAAAACTCGTTTTCCCCAACGGTTGTCAGTTCTGCAGCTATTATGACCAGCACACTGATACTTCATCTTGCTGATCCGATAGGCTATGTCGGTGACCTTGGTTCTCTGCCGGATCACCTCATTCCTGATGCGATCCCTTAGAGAAACGCCGAGCATAGCCCTTTCCATAGCACGTTGATTGACTTTGAACTTGTGGACCAGCCGTACCGTAAGTATTCACGTTTCGGCTGCGTAAGTCATGACGGGTAGGAACCTACAAAAACGACCTACAAAAGGCTAGTTTATTTTAGGAACAATTCACTATAATAAAACTTAAAAATTATAGTGATTTAAAAGCATACATCGAGAATAACTTTTGAGTTTCGTTTCATTTTATGAGCAAATAATACCGTCAAGATTACATTATATAAAGATTACATGGATTTTTTGGATCTGTTTTCACTGTTGTCTTACCTTCACGTTCACGTAGTAATATAATTTCGATAAATACGAGTATTTAAGATAGGTAGCGTCAGTATGTCACCACTGAGGAGATACCTGCTACTGTCTGAATATATAAGGTTCTTTAAAAGTGTGTTAGAGTTCACAGGAGGTTAATATAATCTCTGAACTAAAAAGTACAAAATGCACTACATGTGCATTTTTGTACATGTTTATTGTCTATTGCCCTGGCCCCTGTCCAATCGCGACTGGCTAACCGCATACTGTGTGCTGCTAAACAAATTCATTAAACGTTGTCAGCAGTCTGTGGTCCAACAATAACTAATCTGTTTCACAATACATTACACACAAAATATTAGTAATGAAAGTAGAAGATTTGCAATACTTTATAGGCAACTTTTTTTTTTATTTTTTTTTAGGGATAACAACAGCTGCAATTCTTAACTAGGTAGTAAACTATGATTACATGAGTAGCCAATAAAAGTTATCCACAGTAGATACATAGAGTGGATGAATATGCTAACAACAATACATAATATTAAAACTGATTGGTAAACCTTGAAAAGATGGGCGAATAGATGTAAAATATGAAATATCATA